GGAGGGAGAAAAAAAACACGTTACGATTTCTTGCGCAACGTGGTCGCGAAGGATGAAAGTTGGACGCGTTTCGTGGGATCGATTTTTCGGCTAAAAGTGGGCCCCTGGGAGGTGGCGGAGGAGAGTTGCTCGACCTCTCTCTCTCTCTCTCTCTCTCTGTCTCTCTGCTGAATCGAATTCGATCCGCTGGGAGAAATACGGAATAACGCGCAGATGTCGCGGGTAAAAACGCGAGTCGAAAGCGCGGAAAAGAGCGAAGGTCGAAGAATGAAGCGAAAGGGAGAAGAAGGATTGGGTGGAAATGGAACGGAAACTGGTCCACGAATTAACGCTTCCTTCTCCCTCTTACGAGATCCCATCCGTTGGGCATCGGTTAACGAGGGATCGGTCGATGGCCCGAATAAGGAGAGGGACGACACCGGTGTCATAAAGATTCCCCGCCGCTCGAATTGAGCCGTCCCGTGGTTCCGCGTTCGATCACGATTGACAGTTTGGTAAAAAGACTCTCTCCCTGTCGTATGCCGCGTGTAACGATACCCCCTCGAAGATGTACGATTTCGGTTCCCGGAACCGCGCCTCTAATTTGCTCTCCTGTCGTCGAAATGCGGCCAAGAGTGGCCCTCGAATCGTTTCGAGAAAAGAAAGAAGAGCGGAATTTCGAGAGAAGGATCTTAAATACGTACACCGGCACGAAGCAGGGGAAACCTGTAGCCTTTTTTTCTTTTCTTTTTTCTTTTATTTTCGGTATAATTATCACGGAGCAATGTACAATTATTAAATAAGACGTCCGCCGTACGTTTCTTGCGACGATATTTGCGACGAGATGACAAGCCCGACAAGATCATAAATTATTAATAAACCAATTTCTTATCCGCTATCTTGATGTACGGTTTATAAGAGACAAAATTGTCGTCCATAATTTAACATATTAATCGAGAAAGGGAAAGGATCGAAAAACGGATTCGAAATAATTCGCGCGATACAATACGAATTTCGAAGGTGGATGGAGTCCTTATGAATCGTGAGATACAGGTTCGTTCTGGCCGATGCATTGAGAAGAAGGTACACTCGGTGTTCTCTCTCTCTCTATTCCCTCGAAGGTCCATTCACCGTGTCGGTTAATTTGGTCAGCCTCGATTAGTCCCGAACGACTTCCAGTGGGCAGCGAACCGATTTATCCCGCAGCTACGCGCGCAACGTTAATGAAGACGGTTGGGCCGTTCAGACACGTACCTGGCTGGATCACCTTTGCTCCACGGGGTAAAAAGAGGTCCGCGTTTTGCATAATCCGCTCGAGCGATCAATAATTGCCGTGTTCGCGTTCGAAATGTGCGTACACGCGAATGGACTTGAGGTTTCTCCTCTCTCTCTCTCTCTCTCTCTCTCTCTCTCTCTTCCACGCTCAATTGTCCCTCGAATCAACGTATATTCCCCCGAGGGATAAGTTTCAACTTTGCAAGTTTGGAGGAAAGGAGAGAGTAATTTGAGAGAGTCGGGGTAGATAGATCGATCGCGTGTCGCCTCGGACGGATTAATCCACCGTGTCAAAAATTGCTCTATAAACACCCTATCTCCGGTAATGTCTACATCTGGCTGTTAACCTAATCTCGGGCGCGAGTCGCTCGGCCGTGGCGGCGTACGGAGAGGCGATCGTAATAAAAAGAAACCGTGTATAATATATAATGGGCCTATCTTCGTAATAACTCGTAGTTACTTCGGCCACGGTAGATCTTGCCGATAATTCCAAAGACAGGCATAAGCCGGCCTGTTGCTGGGAGCATGGCTCACCTGTGATCCCCTCCGCTGGGAAGGGCAGGATCCGACGACTAATTTATTCCTCGTGCTCGACCCCGAAACTCCTCCGTCTTATATATATATATATATATATAATATGGCAATATTCCCGCGACGATTCTAATCTACCGATGGTCGATAAAAAAGTTGCGAACCGGCGCGCGAGAAATTCAAACGTCAAGGATCGAGGGTTCGACATTTTTCAGAGGATAAAATCGCCCAGAGGGTAAAACGGATTTCTTCTTAACTTTGTGCACGCGTCTAAGTGTTCCTTTCCAACGTGTTGCGTAATAAATTTAATTATCAGGCTAATTGGCTCCTGGTTCAGAGAGAGAAAAAGAAAGAGAGGGGGAGGGGGGGGATTCGTTCCTCCCTCCGCGCAAAGATTGACAAATGAAAGAGCCCTGTATCAATTTCCTAAGACGACGGCTCGTTAAAAGTTATCGATCACCGGTTGCCAACGTATTATTATATTTATTAGTGGTCATTATCCATATTAAATTTTCTTAATTACGTTTTAACCGAACTAATAACAACCCGTCTTACGATAACTCGCGTTACGATACAACGAACGGCGCCCGCCTCGGTCCTCCCACCTCCTTTGCATAAATTATTTTCGCGGGGACTCGGAGAACGGCGTAACTCGCGGTCCTGACAATGTATTGATCGCCGGCCATTTTTATCGCGAAACATTTGTAGTAATTAAATTAATTCCGCCGGGAGTCGTTCGCTCGCGGATTGCCCAACGAATGATTGATGAACGTTATATTCTCATTACCAGTCTCGCTACTGTGGGAACGTAGTGTGTGTATGTATAATATGCGGTATATATAGACCGATATATACGTATACATATATATGTATATACGCTCCTTATGTATACATATATATCACGAGCGTACCGGCATCATTAAGAACAGTTTACCCGGTCTTTCATTAGTCATCGCGGATTTAGTACGTCGTTTGATTTCATACGGTCGTACACGTGGAACACCAGGTCCCTGTATCGTTTCGATCTCCCCCTCCCCTCTCCCCACCCTCCTCTTTTTTAAAGGATATATATATATATATACGTAATATCTCGAGAGCGAGATTAAAAGGACCTCGATGTTTTCATCGAATCTTGTGATTCTCTCTTTATTTGGAAAAACAACGCCGCGATAATTGGAAATCGGAAATCGTGATGGAACTCCTATTGAAATATGTAACTCGACGACGTGTCCTTTAATTAGAGAAGCGGGGAGATTGCGAAGGTAGTAGTAGGGACATTTCAATGCGCCGTGACGCGAATGACATTACGATTTCATTGTCGTGGCCGAAACTACGGGAGGGATCCGGGGTTAGACCCTAGCCGCCCCTCCCCCTGGTCATGAATAACAAATGCACGTAACGACGAGTTTCCTGAAAACGGGAACGCTGTCATGGGCGTGTCTCGCGTGACGAGTATCTCTTTTTTCTTTCTTTCTTTCTTTTCTTTTTTCTTTCTTTTTTTTTTTTTTTTTTTTTTGGATCGATTTGCCGTCTCGTTTCGCAAGTTCCTCCTATTCCAGACACGATCCGCGATTGCGAACATGGAATTATCGTCGCAAGCGAACCGATGCTCGCGTCTCTCTAGCATCGTAGGCGGTCGTAGATATCGTCAGGAGATACAGCCGAGAATCTTTATCGAAGGCTTGATATTTAAAATTTAGTACGCGTTTCGATCCGTAATATTAATTTTTCAACGATTCTCTCTTATTTCGATTTTCGGCTTTGATTATTTTTCACTCTTTCGAGATGTATTCGGTCTATTCAAACGAACTTATTTAAACATTTTTGATCGAGTCTGTTTTCAGTTCTCTATTCCAATAAAATTTCTATTAAATTTCGATCGATCGAAATAGAAATTCGTCTTTCCTTTTCGGTTTCTCTTCCCCCCTATGGATTTGTAGCGCTTGTTACACCAATTGTCAAGCGAGTTACGTTATTAGCCGTGTATCGTGTCGCACGACGCTGCGAGGAAAAGGCGGTCATTTTCATCGTCGACATATCGCTCCAGCATTCCCACGTCTCGTCAACAGGCGTTACTTGGAAACAATCGCTCTCTCTCTCTCTCTTTCATGGTGGTCGAACCGTCTTTGCGATCTTCGTTCCCCGAATCATCCGCCGTGAATACGAAACAGTTGCGGGTGATAAGGATTCATAGGATCGCGACGAAAAATTGTGCTTTACTACTCGTTGCTTTGTTTGTTGCGTTGATCGTCGCGTGTGGCACGGCCATAAATCTTGGGAAATACGGATGGAAATAAACAAGTAATTAAGCGCGACAGGCGAACACCAACGATGATCTTGTAATTATCCTCGGAACGTGAAAAAAAAAAAAAAAAAACGTAACGAAGACAAATCGATTCCCGTTCGATTCCCGAGCGAAATTATATTTTTGAATCCATCCGTCGTGATGGATGATTTCGTATCTCGTTCACTTATTATTTCTGATACAATCTCGTCCTCATCGAAAGTTTGATTTTCGTCGCTTTCGATCGATCCTCGGATCACAATCGACCACGATCGAGCGAGTTCGGATAGAAGCGGTAGAGAGAGAGAGAGAGAGAGAGAGAGAGAGAGAGACGGTGGGCAGCTCTCGGGTCATTCGGATCTCGTGGGAACTGGTCGTGATTAGTCCACGTCAATAGCAATGCTAGTTATGCTAATTGCGCGAAAGCACTTGGGCCTGCTACCAGCATCGAGCTCTCTGCCAGATAAGCTAGGTACGAAGGTAGTACCTTTGGCTATCGATTTATCGGAGAGCTCACTCCCTCACTCCGGAGGGAGTTCGAGATCGGTTGCTCTCGATCATTCGAGCTTCGACTTGGTCGACTCGAGAGAGAGAGAGAGAGAGAGAGAGAGAGAGAGAGAGAGAGAGAGAATTCTTTCGTTATTTTTTCCCTTGTAACGCTTGATATGCGAAGAAAAATACAAGAATTTCGATATTCGTCATCGGCGAAGGGATGGAATTTCCAAGTCGAGAACCTCTGTTGCAACGGAGGGAAATATTTAAAACGCTACACCGAGAGAGCGTTACACTGTAATTCGAGTAATTCGAGTATTGGGCGAACAAACGCGCGATGTTCGGTTATATGGCGCCAAAGGGGAAGCTCGTTCTCTGCAAAATTGATGGTTTAATGGCGGGGACGCGCGTTAACGAGTACCGTTCGTTTCTGTTTCAGGCGGCGGGACCGCCGGTGCAGCTGGAACCAGTGGATCTGTCCGTGAAAACTCCCGTGGTGTTGCAGGTGCCCCGGTACAGTCCAGCGGCTATAATTACCGCCACGGCTAGAAGAATCCCTTCACCTTCCACGACGCCTACGCCACCGCCGCTCTCCGCGTCTACCGGTGAGTGAATCAAATTTAATCGATAAATTTCAACGTTAATTTAAACTTAAACATCGTTGGAAAAATCGATACGATACTTTCGTTGAAGGAAATCCCCGGAAATTATCCCGATAATCTTATCCAGTAAATATGTAATATCTTGAGAATTCGACGAATTCGAGATCGTTTGAAATACGCGCAATGGGATCGTTGTCGTCGCCGAGGCGCGTTTAAAATTCCAACGCTCGCAACATCGGTGAAGAATCGCGCGTTACGAAGGCGAAGGGAAGCGCCTCTATCGGCTATCGGCTGTCCCTAACCGGCGGCGCGCAGGTGCACGTGTAATCTTCTTAACAGTGGTCCCGACTTCTCTCGCTTATGGACAAAACCGCGGAGATCTCCTCCGATTCCTATTGCTTTATGGGTTAATTATGTCCGATTTTTTCCGCGCACGACCATTCTATGGAAAACCGATTTCCGTTTCACGAAGCCTAGGATAGGCTGTACAATCGATATCTCCGCGTCCTTGCCAACGTATATTTCAACCGATACCGGTCTTCGAACAACTCCCGTTGTTTCTGTACGCTACGTAATGAAAATTTTATTCGCGGAGAACGATGAGGATTTCTTCTCCCTCCTCTTCCTCCCTCCCTCCCTCCCTCCCGTTAAAAATTGAGAAATCAACTAGACACGTTTTTACGAGATTAAATCGGTACCACCACTTACTCTTACCTTTATCGTTGAATTGCCGGGTGTTCCGATGAAACGATGCAAAAGAAAAAAAAAAAAAAAAAGAAAAAAAACATCTGGTTCCTGAAACGATCCTAAGAGATCTTAATGGCCTTTGAGAGAGAACCAGCAGTTTCATAGCGGTCCTCGATAAAAAGTCGTTGCCTAGTAGTTGGTTTCTCGCGCGCGAACGTGGGCCGCGTTTAAACATTCGGGGGGAGAGGGACACGCCTCTTTTTTATTACCTGTATCGCCGGCTACGCAAAAAACAGGAAAGAGAGAGAGCGAGAAAGAGAAAGATAGAGAGAGAGAGAGAGAGAGATAGAAAGGAGGAAAAAACGAGTGTAAGGGAAGGGAAGAGGGGAAGAAGAGACAAGCGTGCAACGACGTAGAGCTCGAGCCCGCTTCTGGCTAGCATTTGGACCCGCATTCACTTCCATTTCTGGATTAATGGCCACGCACACCTGCGCAAAGCCGAGTCCGAATGCGATTGGGGTCGCAACCCGTAGTCCTTGCCCGGGGCCATCGTTGTCCTATAGTCACCAGTCTCTCGGAGAATATACTTTTCCGTTCGCTGTCCGCCTATTGCCAATTTGTCCGAGCGCCACTCACGTATAAATGTATATATATATATATATATATATAATAAGCCAAGCTTGAACGAGGTGTGATTCTCCTCCGATATACGATGGAAAGGTTAGTGTTAGAAGTGAGTTCGGTGTTTAACCCTTGGTTCGATCCAATCCGTTTCTTTTTTTTTTTTTTTTTTTTTTGGATTATCGAACACTGCCGCGACAAAAAGATGCGAATCCCTTTGGCTTGATTTCATAACAGGCGGAAGATTCAAAAAGAGAAGCTGCGTCGAAGCTTCGTCCAAGGTTCGGTTGTGGCTATGATAATGCGCGGATATCGAGGTTGGAACTCCTCCACCGTTCGAGGTCTATAGGAGGCCTTGCGTATAACGGCTCGCGTCCGTTTCCTCGCGCGTCCATAAATCGCCGGTTGGTGGCTATCGGAAAATTCCGATCGTGCGTGGATATACCATATACGCGTGCGAGAGCCAGCCGACCTGTTGTGCGCCACTCGATGCACATTCAACCGCGGCTCGATTTCTGCGTTCTAGGGATGTCCACGCGGCAGAATGAAACGCGTCGTTTTATATTCGAAATGACAAAGTTTCTTCTCGCTTCACTTCGGATGGATAAACGATTTCGATGAAATGATTTTTGAAGGAAAAAAATGTTTCCTCATCGAAAAATCTTCGTCATCCTTCGTCTCAAATCGGCAAAGCGTTCGGCGTGTAACGTTTCGTACCAGCGATCATCGCGAATCTCGCAACACCGGAACGAATCCTATACGTCGAGAAGTCGCGTTACGCCACGCGCGTTTCGAGCTAACCTAACTCCATCATCGTCTCAAAATAGCAATTAAAGTCCTTCCACTCTCCCCGAACCAAGTATGCATCATGATAAATCACACGCTTGCGACAATCGAGACCTCCAAATTTGCTACGCTCTTACGAACGGAACGAAACCTTGGATATCTAGAAAACCTTACCTGCCGATCGCCTAAATCGCGAAAAAACGGGCAATTAAGGTTTCTTTTCTACGTGTTTCGGTGCCGTTTACTCCGCCGTTACTGACTTTCTACCAAGAGTTTATCTCGCAAGAATGGTGGACGAGCGCATTAGCGCGATGCGTGCCTCGCCTGCTTTCGCCCGGTCGTCTTTTTTTTCCCTCTCTGAAAAATGGTTTCCAACGATTATAAAGAAAGAAAGAAAGCTTGTCGATGGGGTGTACAGAAGTGACGTCACGCGTGGCACGGGGCGTGGAACGATTCGGTAAAAGGGCGAACGACCGTGATACACGTATCTCGTATATAATACGTACACATATCGAGTGAAATTTGCCGAAATTTGTCTTTGTTCGTAATTGCTTCGATCGAAATTATATATAGGCCTATGCTTCTTGAATTTGCTCTGCCACTTTATTTTATTCCAGGAAAATTTTAATTTTCGTGTAATTCTAATTAAACAAACATTGACTTCCTCGAGTTGGTTGTGATAATATGATAAAGGGAAGAGGGAGGGGAAAATATGCAATTTGTGCTGGTAGAAGATACGCGTAATTTGTATTAACGATGAGAAGTGTTGGTTTGAAAGCGAAGCTAAAAAATATTCTTTAATAGCTGTTTAAGTGAATGGTGGTTGTTGTAACCGTGTTAGGTAATACAGAAAATATATAATTTGTAGATATTTAATTGAATTATGTATCACTTCTATTAATAATCGGAAAGTCTCGGGTTAGAAGTCTCGTATTAAAATTTTCTTCAACCGCTTAAGTGAATGTTAATTATTCGTTGTAATTCGCGTTATGTAATCGCGATTTATCGAGATATTATTATAGCTTGCGTTAATAATTCGCGCGTTTCGACGCAACTTGGAATTAAATTAAATTTTCCTATTTATATATATATACATATATAAATATTTTCCTTCTTCGCGGAATTGGAATTCAAAAAAAAAAAAAAATAAAAAAAAGAATTCGAACGAGCATTGATCAAGTTTGTCAAATTAAACAATTAATCAAGCCAAGATAAATGAAAATTCGTCTCGAAGGAATCAGACAATGCCGTGAGATACTCTTGCGAACCTTCGTGTCCGTTATCCTCGTGGCGAAATTAATGAATAAAAAAAAAAAAAAAAAAAGAAAAAAAACCAGGCAAATTAATTATACAAAAATAATACCGTAAAACAAAATCTCGATGTGAAACGCGAGACAAAGGTTTCTTATTTAAATATATATAACACCTTATTATCTAATTACTCATTTTCGATTTTATCTCACGAAATCTGTTTCCCTCCCCCCCGCGCTTACGGACGTTTGCATTTGTAAATCTCGGCATCGGAGTCACGCGTTGAATTAACTTCACGTACAAAATGGTGGAGGAGTCTCTCTCTATTCCCTGGCAAATTAATATTATTATTAGCGTAATTGCTAACCGCACAGACAGACAGATAGACAGACAAACACCTTTGTTGTTCGTTTATAATTAAAGAAAGTTTATCCGGAGAAGACACGCGTCGACATTTTTCGTTCGATTCGATCCATTTTCTCGACGGATTTCCTCGACGAAAGCACAAAAGATATATATATATATATATCATTCATCTGAAGAGAAAGTGACGCGAGCTTTTCGGCGTTCGTTCGCTCGAGAACAATCTTTCCTTCTCCCGGCAAATCCTCTTGCCATTTTTTTCCCCACCCCACGGTTTTAGAGAGGAGGAGGATGACGGATAGACGTACCGTTTTGTTGGGAGTCGGTTCGAGTCCACGCTCCCAGAGTTTGATTGTCTTTGATTAATTACTCATGCTGTTTCTCGGCCGGCGGAAGCCGACGGGTAGCAATCTAGATAATGCGTAACTGTATTAACGGTTTCACCGGGATCTTCTTATACGTTTGAAGAGAGAAAACATCGGCCTGACGGCGCTCCCGTCGAAATTTCGCGGGCGAAATGTATAACGCGATATCATTTACAATTTTCATTGAAAATTCGAGATTTGTTTATTTTACTCTGGCGAACGACACCTGTTAAACTCCACCTTACACAACTGTCTATTCGATCGACGAACGGAACGGTGGCCGTTCCACCTCGTCCCACGTGTTCGCCCACAGAGCGGTTTAAAAGCTGATAACGGAATCGCGACAACGTTTGCAGCGTTGATCGGAAGTTAAACAAAAAGGGATAGAAAGAGAGAGAGAGAGGGAGAGCACGTGCAGGGTGCACAGTAGCGGCGTGACACGGTGTGTTGCAAGCCGGCAAATAGCGGCTTGTTATCATAGCTCTTCCTTATCTCGAACGGTTGCGGCCGCCGGTGGCATGTTTCGAGCATCGAGATAAATCCTTGGCGAATGGTGAAACTGATAATCGGTGACCGGTATAACCGATTCGATGATAAAAATCGTGTTGCACGGTGCTCGGTCGGATTTGTAGAGCCACCGTTGTTGGGTAATCAGTTTCGTTTCGAACTGTGCCTTTTGGTTGGACTTTTAAGCGGCGCTCGATTTTTAAGCGTCATCGAACTCGACTCGATAGATATTGCGAAAGGGTAAATTTCAAAATTTTCTTTCTTCATCGATATTATCCCTAGTTCGAAATATCATTTTTTCCAATAAAAGGGCGGCGGGCAAGTTTCGATAGTGTTATGCGATTTTATTAGGCCGCAATTAAGGGAACGTTTATGGGCCCTTATCAGAGGCACGGAGCACACCGTGGCCATGTTCCGTCGATC